GCGCACAGCGGACAGGACAGCGTACTGCGCACAGCGCACCGCCCCGCACTGCACTGCGCACTGGTGCGCCGCAACTATGCTAAGTACCAGTTGATAGCTGACCAGCACAGCCACTGTGGACCTGGACGCCAGATGGGACATACTTCCAATCACCTTATTAAATGACCGATTAGGGCCGATGCAGGTTGAGCCTAATACCAGCCTTAAAAAATAAGCTACACATAACAACCCACACCACCCTCCAACACCCCTCCCTCCCACCCTGCCCCCCCACACACAAAACACAGACCAAGTCCACACCCCTTAAAAAATGCAGGTCGTAGCTGCTACAGTCCTTAAAGGTCAAGGTCGTAGCTGCTACAGTCCCGAAAGGCCAAGTCCACAGACTTCCGGAAGGTCCGGAAGTGGCCTTTCGAGAATTCTCACGTTTAGTCAGAGGCAAGTGGGCAAGTGGTGAGTCCAACTTCGCTTAGTCAGTGGTACCCAGTCCCACTCTCACTTCGCACAGTCAGCAAGTACCATGAGGGACTGTGCGCACCATGGGCCCGGAGGAAAGAGGGCAGACCAACGAATTACAGAAGTATAAATCAAGAGGCAGCGCCCAGCCATTCATTCATTCGCTGCATAAGCCATGCGGAAGCGCTGCTACAGCGTCTTGTGCGAAGTGGTCTGCAGGTTGCCCGAAGACGAAGTGGGCTGAAGAAGGTCCATAGGTAGTAGTAGCCGGCGGCCATAGTCGCCGAGTTAGTGTTAGTAGTTAGTGAGTCTGTGTATGAGTGTGAGACAAGGGAAGTGTGTCGTGGTATTCAGGGTGATCCAGAGCGGAGTATGTGCTGTGCGAACGGTGGTATTGGACACAGTGACGAGAGTTGGTGTGCAGGCGCTGATGCGCCACAGCTTATTGAAGCAATTTTACATCTGAACTGTGTTCTCGTTTCTCCATATCTCTGAGCTTAGAGTGGGAGCGCTGCTCCAGTGTGAATTGCCATCTGTTTGCATGTATGCGAAGTGGAAAAGAAAGCGAGTCTGATTGCAATTGCTTGGGGGGGGGGGGGGGGGGGGGGGGGGGGGGGGGGGGGGGAGCGGTCGTGGTGAATGATGATTAAAAAAAAAAACAAAAAAAACTACACGTTTTTTTCTTCTTTCATTGATTGAGTGATTGGTGGGGGAGGGGTCACACCCCCCCCCCCTTCCCCTGGCCCATCCCTCACGCGCGCGCACACACACACACACACAAGCGTGGCAGTGTATATTTCCATGTTCTAGGCGAAGACATTCGATTTTTCTCATCCTATAGATGGAAGTAGTGCGAGGGCAGCCGTGGAGTTGGAGACTTACCGGTTGGCCGGTGCGTTGCTCATCCTAGCGATGGAAAAGTCTCTCCCTCTCTCTCTCTCTCTCTCTCACTCTCTCTCTCTCTCTCTCTCTCTCTC